CTCCAGCAAGAGGTGCTTTTGCCCCTCAACCCTGAATGTACCATGGTAGGACCTTGCGGTGTGGCTTTGGGTACCGAGGTTATTCCAACGCTGTTTGTTTCCAGAGCTGGAGACTGTGTCCTGCCCTCTCTGAGAACCTGCAAAATTCATGGCATCCACTGCTCCTCTTCGGTCAGAAAGTTCACACTCACAGGAAGTACTGACCATACCTTGCGGAATTGCTCTGTTGTTCCCGTGGAGTTGATTGTTTTTGCATAATAAGATCCTGAACACCTAGATGAGTGAAACAGATCCTCCCTGTGAGGGCCTGCTTTGGAAGATGGGTTCAAACTGGGGATATTATCTGGGCTGGCTGTGGTCTGTAGGACTGCTGAGGGTTGGATATTCTTTATTGTATGCCACCGGGTCTGTTGCTGTAAACCAGCTGATTAGCCGGGATCTGCTTGTTGAAGTGCCAGTTGAGTCGCAAAGCACTCTGTGCCGGTGTAAGGAGTGGGCCTCGTTGTCGTGCTATGGCCGGTTGGGGGCTCGTTTAAGTGCAGCCCTGCAGATCGCATCTGACCCCGATAACACCCCTTTTGACGCCTCCTGTTTCGTCTTGTTTCGTTCTTTCGTTGAGGTAGGGGTGCAGGAGTTCTTGACCTTGACGCTGGTTGAAGGCCTTCTAGTGGATGGAAATTCCTGGGCATGACTTGGTTTAGCTGCTGAGAGATCTTCGGTATGGCAGGGTTTTCTCTGCATCCATCGTTTGATGATCCGTCATACCAGTTGCCGAGTTTTTTGGCGTCTTCCAGACTATCTGAAATTCTGGCGACCTCTCGGGGCATCGAGGATTCCAGGCATGGTGTTTCTGCTGCCAGTTATCGGGCATTGTATGATGGGTGGCGATGCATTTTTTCAGCTAGGTGATGCATTCCACGGTAGGGTGGTGCTGGCTGCAGACACCGCAGATTACTCTGTTTGGACAGAGTGCACACCAAGGAGTCCATAACGCTGACACTTGAAACAGCGAACTGGTTCTGCGTGAAGGTCCTGACATCCGTACCTGCCCCAGAAACCGAGGTCCAGCGGATGGCAGGGTCCTAACAGCTGAATGAGAACCTGTCGGATGGGGTGCCTTGCCAGCCGTCTTTGCCTTGATAACGTTGCGCAGACACACACTGGGTGAGCTGCAACTACTGCCACGTGGCATCATCGCGGGTATCGCATCACTACACCCTAGGTGATCTCTCTTCCTGCCGAGAGTCCCAGTTCCCCAGGTGAATGAGCGAGATCAGTCTCCATGACTCTCTTCAAGTGGTACACATTTCCTTGTTGAGAGGAGACAATTGAATGGTTCTCCCCTCACGTTGAAACCATATCATGAATCCTTATCAGGTTGTGTCGTGATTCCAGGTATGAAAACAACCCCATAAGTGGGTTCTGTGGTCCCCATAAGACTATCACCTTGAATTTGCCAGGTCCCGGTTGAGCTGGTTATGCCGCTCCTTGGACGGAGGTGCTTCTTCTTGTCCACTGTTTTCCATCCCTCTTGGATTTCGGGGGGTGGCGGTGTTTATTCTGCACCAGATCTTTTGTCGCGGGCATCCATGGTTGAGACTGTCAAGATCTGCCACAAGTTGACAGGATCTTCCTCTTCCTCTCAGCAACTATCTTTTCTCTAGAATTTTCGTCCCCATTTCCCAAATCGAGTCCTCCGTCGTGTTCATGGAGCACGTGGCCTCTTCTTTTCCGCAGAAGTCCCCATGTGCCTATCTTGTGATAAGTAGTGAACTCCGTAAACTGAGAGTGTGTCAATGGATTGTGTCGTAATACGATTCTTCCTTATAACCTTGTAACCAACCCCTCCATGTTGTTGGAGTTATAAGGGCTACAAAAAACGCTTGCTGTTTTGCCTCGACCACCATTAAATGTACGGCTTTACCCTCCGTGGCCCATAAAATACCCAACAACATAACAAACAGCTCTCCGTGACATACTAATGAACTTATTTTATTCTTTCCTACAGTATATTCCATGATTCTATTTAATAATATTGGTTTATTATGTCATATTCATTTTAATTGTGAATAGATCAAATAAGCCATAGAGTGATATAAGAGGTCATATTCTCCAACAATAAAACTCCATCTCTCCCTCACACAAACAAAAAGCCAATAAAACATAACAATGGAAGAAAACACTGCAGGTCCTACTGGCCCATACAAGGCAGGTTTTTATCCCCATATCATAATGACGCTCCACCCAAAGCTACCCAAGAATTTACACCCATACCCAATGACACAAATCAAACTCACTCCTCCAACTCGTATATTAGTCCAATCTCTTCCTTGAAGCTACCCCAAGGTCCCCTAGCCTTCGATCACCCTAACTGGTAAGTGTGAGTTAAATAAGAACAAAGAAAAATAGAACACAGGGAACAGACCTCTGGCCCATACTAGGCCGTCCTTCCAAATCCAAACCCACAAATCAGAACAATGCTACCCAGCAAAAAACTCAGGTGCAAAGTCTGACTCAAATCCAACCCCTTTCACTCGTAGTATTTATCCAACCTAAATTTGAAACTTCCCAAGCCATAGCTTTTAGAACATTGGAAAGGAGAACACTGCAATAAGCCTGTTGCCCATACAGGCCGGTCCACTTCAACAAATCCAACCCACTAACATAACAAAATGCTACCCAAGCACTAAGCCAGGTGCAAGTCTGACTCAAATCCAACCCCTCTCACTCGTGTTTTTATCCCACCTAAATTACGTGAAACTACCCAATGTATTAGCGTTCGAACGATCACCCTACAAGGCCCCAACAGTTTCCACTCATCAACTACCCCTATTACCATATGTACATTTATAACATTTTATTATGCCCTATAGTCCTTATGGAGGGGATTTCCTTCCAAATAACCTCTCTTCCCACTTCCTCCTCCTCCCTGTCTTCCATTCAATCAACAACGCCACAATAAAGGTAACTGTCATGTTAATGTTCATTCTTTTTTGTGCCTCAAATCTATCTTTTAGGTAAAAAAAAAAATTTTGTTGATACTTCTGGGTGTCTGGAACGAATTATATGGTTTACGTAGTTTCTTTTGGGAAAATAGATTCGCAAATCGACCATTTCGATAATAGTCCCACTTCCAGAACGGATTATGGACTCATATATTGAGGGACCACACTGTACAAGTGGAAATAGCTACGAAATTGGTCGACTGGGATAATGTAATAGGCCTAAAAATGGGAGTCAATGTCGCACAATCGCCAATTTGTAACTGATTGCCTGACCCAAACAAAATTTGCGAGAGCATAATTTTGGTCAATTTTCACATCAAATTTCGTACTTTATGTTTTATTACCTTCAAAAGATTTCTCTTAACCAAACATTTCATAAATAAGAAAAACTTTAACAAATTTTTTATTATTTTTAAATTCTTGGACCCAGTGAGTACTAACCTGAAATTTGGCCCTCTGGACCCAGACAGAGTTTTAAAAGTGTCCGAGGGTGAAAATTTGCAGTTGGAAAGTCCATTAGAAGTTGTTGTCTGCATATTTATGGCAAGAGCAGCAGTTGAATGATGATGAATAATTTCTAATGTTTTTGGCCCCACAGGGTAAGGTGGCAGGGCACAAGTATGCTTGAATGAATTCTTTTTATAAATTTTTTCAGCATTGTCCAAAGGTAAAGTTATTGAGTTAAAACATTAAAGATAGTTAAGTGGGAGTGCAAGTTTTTGGTGCAAGTGTCACAAACTGAAAAGAAAGTCATATCAATATTAGTATGACTAATAATACAGGGTGTCTTACAGGAAATGTGAACTGAGGATTGCACCCTCAGAGCCTTAGGTGTTCCAGCACTGAGTCCTCTTTTTAACCCTTGGAGAGACATCCTCAACCCACAGCCATCGGTCCTTCCTGCCTGCTCACAAGGAGATGTTCATCGGTAATTATTCTAAGCAAAGGACTGGAATCCTGCAAACTTGGCTGATACATTCAGGTACAAACATCCATAACGAAGAGATATGGGAAAAAAAAAAAATAAGAAATATGGAAAATAGAAAGTTATGAAGATGAGTTTGGGTGTATGATAAAGAAATTACCCTAACCATAACACACAAAATTCATTTTTTATTTTTTTTTTTGATAGGGGTGCAAATTACTGTACAGTATGTATGGTTTTTCATTTAACATCTTTAAGAACAATTTTGATGATTCTCTACATCAATTATATTACAAGAGTGAGTATATCACAAGTGCAAGAAAAATCTGGTAGTGGAGTGGGCTTCTATCAATTAACATAAAAGTGTTTTGTGTAGTCAGCACAAAATTCAAGTTGTTGCATCAGGAGACCCAGATCCACACACTACACATACAACTATATGATGACGTTTTTTTTTTTTATTTTTTTATATTTTTTATTTTTTTTATTTTTTTTTAATACCCCACTGGGCATCACCCACTTGGCATCACCCACTGAGGCAGGTGAACCAAAACAAAAAGTGTTTTCATGAAGCTTTTCTTCATAAAAATAGAATATTTTTTAAAAAAGGAGTTACCCCTTTCCTTTCAGCAATTTAGTCCCACCTCTACGATATGCATGGCTTATGGAGAAAGGATCTGCTCACTTTACTATGTTGTCTATATACAAAGGTTTAAATTAGTTGACAGGTCTTGTAAATTATTACCAGGGTTTTATTATATGGCAGAAACCACCTTTCCTCTGTACCCAGTGATAATATTATTACATGGTATGTATTCTTTGTGAGCAAGAGACTAGTAACCCCTTCTCCTTTACAAATTACTAAATTTAAAAAGAAAAACTTTCAATTTTCTTTTTGGGCCACCCTGCCTTGGTGGGATACGGCCGGTTTGTTGAAAAAATAAGAAAAGCTTTATAAAGTTTTCTTCGTTTTCCGAGTCTTCCTCCTCGGTGGAGACCTGGATAAATGACCTTATTTAAAAAATGAACCCTTTGTTAATAATAATAAATAAATGAGGAGATTTCAGCAGGTTTATGTGAACTACGACACTAGGGTTGGTGAGAACCGTCTTGTCCTGGCAGTGGTAGACATTGGTCACTCAGAGCCCTCGACCCTAAACACCTACACACTCCACTTAACCAGACTACCTCCACCTGTGCCACACCAATCTTCACCCCCACACCCATCAGGTGTGCGCCTTCAAGCAGGTGAGGCGGGACAAAGGTGAGCGAAGAGTAAGGACTCAGAGAGAAATACAGAAAACTGGTTTACAGTATTAGTATATTCAGACTAAATTTACGTAGGTTTTGACAAATTTGTGTTTTAATTTTTTACATTGGCTATGTAAAACAATATTATTACAGTACTGGATATGCATACAGTTGTATAATCTAAGAAAAATCAAATACAGTAGTACAGTGTAACCTCGGCTTATGAGCTAAATCCATTCCATGACCTTGCATGTATCTTGATCTGCTCATATGCTGAGTCAATTTTCCTCATTTAAATTAATTGAATGCCATTAAACTGTTCCAGCTGAATTCCTGCTCCCAGGAGCGGACCAAAAATACTTCAGTATGGATCTAATATCAACTCTACAGCTTATTTTATCTATCCCCATTAACTAATATGATATAATAAACAATATAAAAAACATAGAAACATGATATATACTCTGAATTGATAAAATAGGCCATAATATGGCCTATGGGGCATAAAACTATATCTTCCCCAGGCTTTTACTTATAAGAGAAAATTGAGTGTTTGTGAGGCTAACTGCACTAGTTCATAAATAAGAAATTGTATGCAAACATAATAGAGGATGTAAAGCAATAAAGTGGTTTTATAAAGTGTATGTACACTGGCAGAGGTGGAGAGTGAAGATAGCTACTTGCTACCAGCTCTTACTGCCACCCCCCTTTGTTTATCTATGATTTCATGCTGTGCAAGTTTCCATGACTCCTCTTTTTCTTCACAGTACTGTCCTTTGCACATACTTTTGCTTAGGACCCCATGGGTGAGAAAAAAAGAAATTTGGCTATAAGAACATGAGAATGCTTCCATCGCGACACAAACCCAATTGCACAGCTCACTGATGATGTGGAGTTGGCTGTGCCACCTAGTGGCGATGTTTTGAAACCGCGATCTGTAATTTTTTTTTTTTTTTTTTTTTTTTTTTCAACAAGTCGTTTTCGTCCCCATCACCCCACCCGAGCCCAGGTGACCAAAAAAGAAGAAATCTCATTATTATTATTATTATTAATTTAGGGAACTGGAGCACAGATTCAATTCCCTAGATCAAGAGGCCCTCACCAGCATCAAGAAACCAAAATAAAAAAAACCTCCCATTTAGGGGGAAGCTGCATCCTGAATTTTTGCTCGTATCCTAAACAAGAAATCGATCCAGCGCTTGCTTTTATCCTGAAAAACTCGTTTGATGGGGCACTCATAAGCCAAGGTTCCACTGTACTTTTGTTTTTGTATTTTTCATTGTAGTCACAAATGGGTATTTTATACCCTCTTTAGCTTCATACGCATAATAATAGTGAAAGTAAATAAATAATTCATAAAAATAAAAACGCTTATTTATATGAAACACAACAATTAACCCTTTCAGATCCTGCCATAATATAAAGGCTTTACGTTCAGGGTCCAAAACCGTAGATCTATGCATGAGCTCGTCCACTCTGATAAGCTGTGAGGAGTAAATTTTTTTGGGCCAAGATAAGAGAGAATACAGCTATGTGGTAATGTGTGCACCCATAAAACAAAATCCTGCAGCACACATGTAAAATGAGAGGAAAAAAAAACTGAGACCTTGATTTTCGATTAAAACCGAATTTGCAGTAATTTTTCGTATTTTTTATAGTTGTATTTTGCGATTTTATTTGTCTCATTTGATAGAATGGAAGATATATTACAGAAAATAGATGATTTTGATAGGTTCTCTACTGGAAAATGGCTTTAAAAAAAACTGAGCTCAAAGATAGCAGAAATGTTAAAAGTTTGTCGAGTTCAAGTGTAAACAAACGAACCACACACTCTAATAACACACCACAGGTGGTCTAATATACATTCACAGATGTGATGAAATTTATACAATTATTACAATATTGCAAAACAGTAAATCATCTATTTTTTGGGTTTGAATAAAATTCAGTTATTGGTTGGAATCAAAAATAAAAATGGAATTCATTTGTCAAGCCTGAAACATAACAAATGAACAGAGGAAATGTTAGTTTAGTGCCAGGAAATGACAGCAAATTTGGGTTTTATTCTGGACCCTGAATTTTACCTGGAGAGAGTTCCGGGGGTCAACGCCCCCAGCAGCCAGCCCAATCTGTGACCAGGCCCTCCCTGTGGATCAACCCTGATCAACTAGGCGTTACTGCTGGCCTGCACGCAATCCAACGTACAGCCACAGCCCAGCTGTCAGGTACCTAGACGTTTAGGTGCTTTTTCCAGTGCCAGCTTAAGACTGGCCAGGTGGTCATTGGTAATCCCACCCCCCTTATATAAGCTGGGATGGCAGTTGAAACAGTCCTCGGGCCCCTGACAACGTAATGTATTGTCTCTTAATGGTGCTACTAGACACCCCTTGGCCTTTTTCATTGGGGGATGTTGCAATCGTCTGCCAAGTCCGTTTGCCTTTCCACGTGTGCGTGATTTCCGTTGCAAGTTCGTACTGTCCCTCTAGAATGTCCAGGTGAATATAATAATCGTGTATCACTCCCGCCTGTGTTCCAGGGAGTACAGGTTCAGAACTTCAAGCGCTTCCCCAGTAATTGAGGTGTTTTATCTCCGTATTTGAGCATGCCATGAAGTTCTCTGTAAATTTTCACCTCCTTGAAAGGTGCTGATAGTGTACAGCAATATTCCACCTAGATAGAACAATGCGCACCTGAAGAGTGTCAAACATGGGCTTTTTGGCATCCCTAGTTTTGAATGTTCTCATTATCCTCCTGTCATTTTCTAGCAGCTGCGATTGATACAATGTTAGTCTTTGAAGTGAGATCCTCCGACAAATGAATCACTCCCAGGTCTTTGACGTTGGTTTTTTTTCGCTCTATTTGATTGGCCGGCAATTTGTTTTGTACTCTGATAAAGTTTGTTTCCTTCGTTTTCACCATATTGGAGTAATTGAAATTTATCAGTGTTGAACTTCATGTTGTTTTTCTCAGCCCCTTGAAAGATTTGGTTAAGTCCCGCCTGGAGCCCTTGCAGTGTCTTCATGCAGATTCGGTGTCATCTCAAAGGCACGGTGCTGTGGCTGCATCCTTGACTAATGTCAGAATAGAGGATGAAGCGAGTACTGTGCCTTGTGAAAAACAAAGCTTTTCATCACCATAGCCCCCGCCTCGGGCATACTTCTGTGACTGCTACTCTTTTGTGCTCTTTTTGTGAAAGAAATTGTAGAGCCATCTACCACTTTTTTCCTTTATTCCTTTAGCAACGCATTTTTGGTGCGCTATTATGCCAATGTCACACCCTTGTCGAAGGCTATGCAAAGCCTTATAAATTACTCTGCATTCTTTTTTGCCTTCTTGTGCATCCTAGGACCCCTTGTCGTAGTGATCCAATAGTTAGACAAACAGGAGCCAACCTCTTCTAAACCCAATGTTGCCCTGGATTTGTGTAAAAGATGGGTTTCTAGATGGGTGGCGACCCCTTGCTTCTTAGGACCCTTTCAAAGATTTTTATGAATGGGGGATGTTAGTGCTATCCGGGTTTCTGATAGTTCTTTGCTATAGCTTTACTGCCCATTTTGGAGTGGGCTATGGTCTGTCCTGTTTTTTTTAGTGACTGGTGAGACAACCCCGAGTCCATGCTCCCTCTCCAGAGGATGAGTAAAAGGCTCGAGATAGGGGCATCTTGCAGTTCATGATGAAAATTGGGAAAATAATTTGAAATTTGAGTTTAAATTTGGGGCCAAATTACCAAATTTATCATCACTTTATTTTGTAGTTGAAAACAGATGACTGTGGCGATTTCTTGTGCTCAAGTCGATAGAATCGAAGTAATACAGTGGTTTCCTCAATAATCGTCCGGCTGAAATCGTCCATATCGGAAATATCCTGTTTTTTTGTTCGTCAAAATATTGGCTCCGCAAATGGTCCGGTAACTCCTAATCGTCCAGTCGTCCGGACACGTACTCACGCTCTGATGCCGCCTCGGCTTTCTTCCCAGCCAGTGGCCATTGTTTACCAGTGGAGTGACGTCCCCCACAGCTCCTACGAAATATTCCATAATATTCCATAGATTTTAGTGTATTCAAATTAACCTTAAGTTTATTAAAACTAGAGGGGTCAGGAAAAGAACCCCAAGGGTTAAGGGTTTGGAGGGAAACTTTTAAATTCACTGGACTTTTTTTCTATACTGGTTACCCATGCATTTGCCCCAATGTGAAAATTACCTAATGAAAAGAAATTAGAACTAAGTGCCTCCTGGTGTTAGACAATTGCCCCTGGTCATCCTACAGACTGGCAGAGCGACTTTATGGGGACATTAGCTTCATTAAGTGTGAATTTTTGCCTCCTAATACCACTCCTCTCTGCAGCCCATGGACCAGCAGGTTATTGCAAACTTCAAAAAGCTGTACACAAAAGCTCTATTTGAAAGGTGCTTTGTAGTGACCTCAGAAACTCAACTGACTCTAAGAGAGTTTTGGAGAGAGCACTTTAATATCCTCAATTGTGTAAACCTTATAGGTAAGGCTTGGGAGGGAGTGACTAAGAAGACTCTTGAACTCTGCTTGGAAAAACTGTGGCCAGAATGTGTAGACAAAGGATTTTGAAGGGTTTGAGGCTAACCCTGAGAGGATTATATGCAGTTGAGGAATCCATTGTGGCATTGGGAAAGTCCTTGGGGTTGGAGGTTAGTGGGGAGGATGTGGAAGAGTTGGTGGAGGAGGACAATGAAGAACTAACCACTGATGAGCTGATAGATCAACTTCAACAGCAAGAGGCCAGACCTGAGGAAACTGGTTCAGAGGAGGGGAGAGAGAAATGAAGAAGTTGCCTACTACAAAGATTAAGGAAATGTGTGCAAAGTGGCTTGAAGTGCAAACCTTTTTTGATGAAAATCACCCTCACACAGCTATTGCAAGCCGTGCTGGTGATTATTACACTGACAATGTTGTGAAACACTTTAGGGAAGTCATAAAGGAACGAGAGGTACAGGCCACTATGGACAGATATGTTGTGCGAAA